TTATTTTTTTATTAAAGGGGGAAAATTTCAGAGTTGTTATTATCGGGGGGAAAATTTCAGACTTGATCCGAAAATTTATAGTGTTACTTTAAGATACAGGTATATAAACGCAAACTAAAAAGAATTAAAAGAATTTGTCGTTGATGAATGAATTAAAATACCTCGAGAGATGTGTAAAAATTTAGTAAATCCTGTACCTAAGAGAATTGTGTAATTATATAAATCTAAAGGAAAATTACATTATATCAAATTTAAAAGTATAATTTTTTTAATTTATAAAATTTCAATTCCACCTATCAATTTTATTTATTTTAAATTATAAATATCCAAAATAGATATATTTTAATATTGTTGCTTATAAAAATATGAATTTTTTATAGTTTATATAATATTTTTTTAGTATCTCAATTTTGTGTTCCACTGATGTATTTATTTGAGTCAGTAATTTCCTTATATTATTTTAAATTAAAATATTATTATAAAAAAGGATTTAAATCTTCATAATAAAAAAACATGATTATATATTTATCATGTTAAAAAATAAAAAACTATTATATTAAAATTAATGCTTATAAAAGTAAATTTATTTTTTTAACATTGATTGTTTATAATAAATATAGTTTTCAATACCATTTTTTAATTTGAAAGTGATTTTTTGAATAGTTTTATATTTAAAACAATATTATTGTTTAATTATCTTTTATATAATTATCGATATAAATTTTTTTGGATCTATTAATTAAAACAAAATGTCAATTGATTATCATTATTTAAATTTAATCTTTGACTATAAATATGTGTTTTTAAATTCAAATTCATAAACAATATAGAAACAATAACTTATTTTTTAATTACCGATTAAAAATTTTATATTAAAAAAATTAAACAATATAAAATAAAATGATAAATTTTGTCTTAAAATATTTTTAAGACCAATAATATAATTTCAAATCAATTATAAAAAGAAAATCTAAATAAATTTATAAAATTAAGAAGTTTAATAAACACTAAATAAGACTAGCAATTACCTAAAATAAAATTTAAACATTATTAATACCTTGATTATTATCAGAATAATTATCTTTATTACTTTTTTTATCCGTTAAACAATAATAAATACAATAAATAAGTTCTATTAAATCTATTAAGAATAAAGACCAAAATATTATAAATCCTTTTTTATCATCTTTCCATGTTTTTAATATCCCACCTGAGACATGAAAAGGTTCGTATGATTTATGAATACAAACAGGCAACCCTATGAATGCTGCTATCAAAATGATATTTCTGTATAAACGACATCGATAAGAACTTCCTTTTTCATTTTTATCAAAATTATCTTTTTTAAAAGCATTTGATAAATTAAAATTTTTAGAATGTTGTGGATAATCATGTGGATGTTGATAGTGTGTATGATTTCCATAATATGAAGGGTGTAATTGATCTCCTTGTTGTAAGTCTTTATTCATTGTTTTACTATTAAGTTGTTCATTTGTTTTCTCTTTATTATTCAGATTAAAGAGATTATTATCTGGTTGAATTAATTTGTTATTCATAATAGGGTAAAAACATTTGTTATTTTAATATAAATTTTTTGTTACTCATAAATTTGTTAGATCAAACGCAAAAATTTATAAATAAATAAAAAAAACTAATTTAATTAAATCTAAATAGTTTTAATAATTCAACTTGTTACCTAAAGGCAATATCAGAATTAGAAACTTTAATGGATTTTTAGAAAATAATTTTACCCCTACAATTAATCAATAAAATGAGTAGAGA